GTAATTTCTCTTACCTGCTGTTCTCTTGACAAATGTGCTAGTGAAGTCTGACATTTAAAGTAGTTTTTGATCCAGGAATACAGCTGAAGGGCTAAATAAATACCCGTGTCTGGCTAATCTTTTAGTTCTATGATATTTTGCCACCTTCTTGGAGAAGGCTGTAAATCAGCTGATACTTGCATGCAGAAAGCAGTGCTCTCGGTGCCTCGCTGTCCACCTCAGTTCGGATGCAGGGGCCATCAAGACTGATTTGGGGGTGGCAGCAGCTCTGGGAAGGTTCAAGTAGCCCCCGGGCTACCTGCCCCCGTGGCCTGGGGGGACCTGTCCTGATGGAGGTGCATCTCTTTGCCAAAAGGTATTAACTAAATCACCAAGGTTGGATTATTTAAAGCTTAACTCATGCAAAACGGAGACCTTGGTGAATGTCATATGTAAATAGTTTCTATGTTAAATCTGATAAAAGGTTATTTATCAGGACTCGTTTTAGAGCTCTGCACTTTTTAGTGGTTTTGAAAATAAGAAAAAAAAATTTTAACAAGGCATTTTATTGATTTACCCAGAAAATATGTTTAAAAGACCTGTATCCTGTATGGGGCAGCCAAACTAGTTAAGCTTCCCTCTTTTCAAATATTCTTTGCTTTGATTTTTTTAAACAAATATACTGATGTGTGGAATAACAAGTGTAAATTATTTTCCAAATCAAAACAATTAGTCTTACAAATATTTAAAAAGTCATGCCTCATCAACATCACTGTTTTGTGCTTATAAGAGAACTGCAGAAAGTATTTGCTTTTAAAAAAAGAAGAAAAACCTTTCACCTAGTAATGAAAAAGTAGTTTTTGGGTAATGCAGTCATGGACCGAAGGGGAATTTGCATTGGACAATGATGAAATAGCTTTTTTTTTTTTTTTTTTTCAAACAAAAAACCCCAAGAAATTATTAGCAAAGGATTGCTAATAATCATTTTCACGCTGAAAGAAAATTATTTATTTATAAGTGCAGGACTGTTCCCTTGTGCAGCAAATCCCATCCCAGTGAGACCATCCACACTATATATAGTTGACATGAAGCTATCGTGATTTTAATGATCTTAGTGCTTAAATATGACAGGTCCTGGTAGGAACGTTTCCGATGCTATGTCATGCTGCAGACTGACGCTATTTTGGGGTGTCACACTGGGGACCCCAGAGGTCAGGGCAGATGCAGAAGAAACTTCCCATGAAGAACTTTTCTGGGCTCACAGCCATTGCAGTCGGTGTGTGCGCAGGATAATTCCATGTATGACCAATTTCATATGTAGAGTCTGTCTCCAAACAGATATTTAAATGCTGTTATTTGGAAAGGCATGTTATTGCTGTAGTAGAGGTAGTATTGGATGGAGTAGAAACCTTTTTTTTTTTTTATAAGAGCTTCTGATCCTTCAGCACTGAGGACTTTACGGAGGGAAGAGGGGGTTGAGGTGACATCCCAGAGCCTTCTTGTGCTCTGTTCATTCGCAGTTAGTGAAAGTGGTTCTCAGCTGCTATTTAGAGGACTTGCATTTCATTTTGTAGTCCTCCTTCTCCCCTTTCCCTTCAGCTGGGAAGATCAGAGGAGCCACAGCGACCTGGCTGCCGTTCTCTGCTTTCCTTGTGACGGGGCTGGCAGGGCGTGCTTGGCTGCAGGTTTTGCTAGGGCTTTCTTCTCATACAACATTGTGCTGAGGAACTGCATGGCCAGCAGACCCTGTCCTGCTTGTGAAGATTTACAGCGTAGCCTATAGGAAAGGATGGTCCCTGCTCCCTGGCTGCTCTGCAGACCGCGCTGCCTAATGACCCAGGGCCCTGTGCAGGGATGCTAAAATATTGTCCTGCTCTTTTGTTCTGACACTTTCCTCTTTTTCAACTCTTAAGATTTTACTATTTTTTTGAAACCACGGAGACAGAGATTGAAGGCAGCCCTTTGAATTTGTTAAAAAATGACTGCAGGGTTCCTTCCGACCCCTGTGCTAATTTTTAGCAGAACAGGAAACATTAAAAATAACCATGAGAGAATATTTCCCAATTCAGAAGCATTGTCCTCTTAATAATCTTGGGCTTTGTTTTCACTAGATATTTTCGCTCCTTAAAATTCCTGTAAAGCTGCTAGAGCAAGTACATCCCTGCCAGCAGTGGTGATGGCACTGGAGGAGGAAGGCAGAGGGCCAGTTAGCCGGGCTGGCACCTGGGCTTGCTCTGAGCAGGGATAAGGGATGTACAGGGAAAACACTTATTATTTATTGGAAGAGCTTTTGCATGTGAGTCTGAGCTTACAAGCTCAGGGTTTTCCCACTTTGGTGGACCTAAAACTCTCTTCCCAAGCCTCCAGCTGCTTTCAGCATTGGCTGAATCTCATTTTTGCAATGACATTTTGGTGCTACATTTCAAGGCTTCTGAGCTTCTACTGTGAAACAAAACAAAACTATCAAAACTTGTTTTAAAACGTCTCTGAATGTAGCCCATTCTGCTGAAGCTGAAATGTTGCATGGCCAAACCAAGGCTTGCAGCAAGAGAGTATGATGCAGTAACAAGCTCTCTCTAGCCCCAATGTCTTGTCTGACTTGTGTCTGCATCCTCAGCATCATTGCATACAGATATATCATTAAATAATGTATCATGTATGTATACCATAAAATATATATTATATAAATAATATAATGTATTGGCCTGCACGAAATGCAGGCGGTCATTGATGGTGTTTGTGTCAGAAAATGAGATCTGAGTATATTACAGCTAGGATTGGGTCTGAAATCCACCTAACAATGTTGACTGGGACCATGTTAGTGTTGTCTTCCTCAATGCACCTGGTGGGTTTTGTGCTGCTTGGCTGGTGCAGTGATGGTTTTGGTCAGAACCATGTTTTGGGGGAAGTTGATTGAATTTTCTCTCTACCTTGTCTTAAAGCATCAGGTTTGTCCTAGGCAGACAGTTCATCCCCTCTGGATGTTGTGAGTGTTTCATTATGTGAAGAGTGATCACTGTGTGTGTGATTCGGAGCGAAAAGCTTGTAATTGAGAGCAGGCAAAGGCAGAAGTGAATTTTAGCCCTGGGTGAAAAGCACAGCATGAAGCCACTGCATGCTTTCTCCTACTTGAGCCCTGTAATGGGGTGTCCAAAAAGCTCTCCTTTTTTCTTATGCTTTGTGCTGATCATTGAAGAGGAAGTGATTCTTATTATTTTTTTTTTGGTGGTTTTTGACCAGGGTAATAGGGGTTGTTGTTTTCCTGTTCCTTAGTTATCAAATAAACTAAAGATTCCTTCATCTTTAATTAAAATGACATGGAGCAAATAAAAGACAGTAATGATCTCAACAGATGGGTGCTCCTGAAAGTTGCAGGCAATCAAGTGAGCAAGCCCAGATTTCAGATGTTCTCTCCTGCTATATACATGCAGTCCCCTAACCCTGCCTCTGCTCACGCAGACGTTTGGCTGAGAGGTAGAGCAGAGTCAATTAAATCTCCAGCCCAGACTAACAAAAGATTTAAAAGTCTGAGTTAGTCTTGTCCATTCAGCAGCACGGCTGGCCAAGAGCCTCTTGAAAACCCAATGGATATTGTTTCTCTCAAGCATTAAATGCTTTCCCTCAAACAAACATCCTTTGAATAGGCCATTGTTTTTCCTTCTGGATGTCCCTTTGTGGACTGATACAAGAATAGCTAGAAACTGATGAATTGGTATTGTAAATTTAAAAAAAAAAAAAAAAATCTCTGGGACTTCTACTCCCTTGAGAAGTTGAATGTGCTGCCAGTTCTCTGCTCAGGTCCCATATCTTGTCCTCTGGAGGTTAGAGAGCTGCATCGGGAGCTTCAGGGGAACCACCTCAAGCAGTCATAGTTTCAGGAAAGATGCTCTGTGGAACTGACACCTTTCCCAAGTGTTATAATGTCAGGAATTGAGGTGAGATAAAGTATGGAGGAGATATTAGGGGAAAAAGTAGTAGTTTGGTTGTAACCTGCAAGCCTTTGTGTTAACGGACACAGCTTCATTTATATTTATATTTTCATTACTGCTACATCGCAGTTGTGTACTGGTAGTTCCTTGTGAGAAGCAATGCTCATCATGTGAACAGTATAGCCTGTTTGGTGACTTCAGAAATCTCACATGTAAAGAAATCCCGGTTTATTTTCAGGTGATAAATTCAGGTCCCCAAGTCCTTATAACACAGGTACAGGCTGTCCAGGATTCAGCCGCCTGGATTTACCTTTATTTCCTAACAGAGCTGTGTGTCCCAGGGTTTCTTATTCCAAGCCCAGTCACCACAGCCCCTGCAGACTGATTTATTCCTTATTGATGGCCAGAGCTGTGAGCTGGAAGGATGCTATTTTTAATGCAGCCATTGGGCTTCTCTTACACATCTTTCTCTCGCTTTTGCTCGATTTCACTATCACAGATTTAAGCTGATTGAAAAAAGTCCACCCTAATCAGCTAAAAAATAAAGAATATTTTGATGCTTTATCATTGGACTTGATAGTCCAAACTACGTTTTCTTTGGTGGGCCCTCCAGGTTTACAGGGCTATAATGTGAGAAGATGCTGGGTAAAGTGGTAGAGTTTCAGCAAGTCCTTTTGATAAAACAAGTGGTTCAGGTCTGAGGTAGATGTGACTCACTCCCAGGACCTGCTCAGGTTAACCAAATCAGGCATATTTTACTGCTGCTCTTATAGGGTCTTTAAAAACCTCAGGGAGTCCCGAGCGCTGTGCCAGAGCAGTGTCACCCTGTCCCTGTCACTAATCCTGTCGCTTCCTCTCACGCTCCTTCGTACTCTGCAAATTGTTTGACGCCTCTCACTGTGCCCCTGTGAAACCTTCCTGCTGGATTGCATGGATGAAGGATTAGGTGTAGAAACAACATAGCCAAAGATTGTACTGTACGTAAGTAGAGCCTCTTTCAGAGCATGACTGACGCTGCTAGGCTGGCAAATTGATATTGTTGTTGTTAGTATTTCTTTTTTTAATAATACTGTCTTTTCCTTCCCTTTTCAGGGGCCTCTTGGCTTGGATGGCAAACCAGTAAGTAGCACCGAGTGCCAAATGTAATATGTTTTTATTCATGCTGCTCTGCAATAGAAAGGCAGAATCTCAACTATTACTTGTTTATTACTATATATATAACTGTTTAGGAAAATTATTCTGTGGTCTGTAACAAATACAAGTTAAAATTCTGAGCCAGGGCTGGCCGGCACAGCTAGAGGTGAGCTTCTCTTAACCCCTCATCTCATCTTGGCTGCTTCTCCCCGTCCTGCGCCAGCTCGGCTAGTGGAGACTTTGGCCATGGGTGACAGGCCAAAATTGGGAAATAAATTCCAGTAGAGCCTTGAAAGAAGCAAGAACAGTAATTGAGATTGTGTGCTCCTGGCGCTACAGAGTGGTATCATAAGAATAATCGTTCCTAAACTGGGTACATTTGCCTCTAAAGGAGCCCAGGTGGGAAGCGCTTGAGAGTGCCCCATGTCTATGAAATACTTTGTGTAATGGCCTGGACTTCACTTTATGAGCTGTTTGTTTGACTTTGGTTTTGCTCAGAAGCCCACTGGACACTCAGGTGCTCCAGTCTTTTCTTACTTTCTGGACTAAGACAGACTTTTTTTTATTTTTACGCCAGCTGAACCCTGGCCAGCTCTGATTCCCCTGGCTGGACGGACGCTGCAGGAGGTCGCAGCTCTGTATTTTGTGTCCAAATCCCTCTCTATTCCACCACGTTCACTAGAGGGCACCATTTGAAATCTTTTCAAGATCTGGTCCTAAATCAACTCTGATTTTCAAAGTGAGCAGAAGTCATTCAGTCTTTGCAATCGAAAAGTTACTCCAGATACTTACTGGGGAATGTTTTTTTAATAGCTGCGTGTTGCTGTGGTTGGTTTTTGTCCTACCCTTGAATACGACAAACGTGACTGAAAAGAAATCTAGAAATAAAGCATTAGAAAACTAAAAAGGATGGCCAGCTCGTACAGCTGTGCTCAGGGCTTAGCTTTGAATTAGCACAATTCAAAGGGGAGCAGCACAAACCCCAGCTCCTGTGCCCGCTGCCCTTGGCAGGCACGGGGATGCAAACGGCTGCGAGTTGTGCACTGGGCAGGAGCGAGACCTCTGGGTGAGAGGCAGGGAAAATCTCCACGAAAAAGCAAACTTATCAAACGGCCAAACTCGAACCAGACTGTTCATGATCTCTTCCATGAGAGCAAGGGGCCAGCAGCCTTGCTCAGAGCCAAATTAACAGCAGGAGGGATGCTGCGTGGGGATGCAGATGCTGCTGCTGTCGGCCTCTCTGCTGACCTTCCCCACTGCACCCCACCAGGTCCCCCTTCAGCAAACACCGTGAGTTGGGCTGAACCCCAAGATTCAGTATTTTTCTGTGCTGGAAGGAGGATGTGGAGCAGGCACATCAAAGCCTGGCTCTGCGGCTTCTCTTTGGGGCTGCAGCGTGTCTCTGCCCGTCCGTCTTACAGAAAGCCGCTCAGAGGGAAGATGACTTATGTCTTCAGCAAATAGGCCAAAGAAAGCAGCCCATCCTCCTTGTTTATTTCAAACAGATGTATAATTGTTGTAATGATATGCTGAGCATGTGTTTTTCTAGAAGTGATTTAATACTTCAAGAAATCTCTTGCATCTATTTGGAGTCACGTGTTTGCGAGCGGCTCTCATGCTGCCTGCCCTGTCCCGGTCCTTCTCTGCTCCTCTGTCCTGGCAAGACCAGGCCGGACCTCATTGGTGCTTTTTGGTAGTGTGCTGCTCATGTGAAGCAGTGTATAACTTAAAATAGTAGCATGTATAACTTAAAATAATTGTGAATGTGGCTCAGGTTTGTAACTGATGGCTGCTGTCTCCTTGGTTTTGATGATGTGTGCATTGACAATTCTGCTGTTTCTTGACTCGGATCCTTCTTATGTATTCCCAGGGACCTCCAGGACCAAAGGGGGAAAAGGTAAAGACTGCATGAATGTGGGGAAGCAGCTGTATATCCTCCTTCTGCTGTAATTCTTTCAGTTCAGGTTAGCCTAATATGCCAGCATTACATTACCACTGGGATTTGTTGGGATGTGAAGCTGTGACAGCAGGTTCTCAGGTTGCTCTTGGAAAAGCCCGAAGAAGGGGAGGATGGAAAGAATTTGCACAAATGTATGAGGAATAAATTTGATCTTAAGGGTCATCCATGCTGTTGGGTTCCTGGTAACCCCCTCAGGGTCAGGAGAGTGGCACAGCTCTCTCCTTGCTTTCCTCCAAGAGCGAGGCTGTGGCCTCCATTGCTCTGTTTGCATGACATCCTCCCACGACCAAAGAAGGTCATTGCTGTACTGAAAGTGATGTTAATCCCCGCATGTGTAGGACATAAGCAGTTGCTAAGGGAGCCTTAGAGTTGGAAACAATCCTCTATTTCTGATTTATTATCTGTTTCATCGCCTGCCAGGGCAGAATCATTCCCTATTGTGTTGTCTCAAGCCCTTCTCCTCCCTGGTTTTGAATACGTTAAGCAATAGGACTCTTGCCACTTCCCTTGTGTGCTGTTCCTGTGTCCAGCTGACCCTGCGCTCGGTCCTTCGTGGTTGAAATGTGAACTCTAATAGCTGACCCTTGCTGTTTTGCCTGACGCACAGGGTGAAGCAGGGGACATCGGCCCGAGGGTAAGTAGTGACACAGCACGTTGATTTATTCTAAAATCTGGTTGGGTTGGTCACTGCACTAAACAAGGCTTTGTGCAGCTTTGTTGCTGCAAACTGAGGTATGGTAAAACTTCTGGAAACATTTAATTTTGCCATTGAAGCTCTTTGTGGTGTGGTTTTCCTAACTTTGACTACAGGGAAAACAAGACTTGAAGACCTTTGGGTACCTCATGAAGGGTTTCGCTTTTACTGAGCTTTTCTATCCCCGATTCCCTCTTCTAGTGTCAGAGACAGACTCCGTGTTTCTTATTAAGCTGTGCTCCTTGTTTGTTGGCATTGGAGCACCAGTACATGGTGGTAAGACCTGGTGTCCCAAGGAAAGGCCCGGCATGGTGTTGTGCAGGATGGAAAGTTCCTGAGCTCCCCACCTGGGAGCGTAGGCTGCCTTTGATTGAAAATAAAGGGTTTAAAGTAACTGTACAATGAAGGAAAAATCTTTTGGCTATGGCAGCGGTAACATGAAGTCTCCCATGTTGGGGATGAGATGGAAGGGCTCAACATGAGGTCTGTGATATTTCTTAGGTGGGCTCTGTCACAGTAATGGAGATGTGGTTGGCTGTGGGTTATGGGCACATGCTGGAAACCCCGCAGTTGAGGTGCAGGAGCTGGCAGCCAAGAGTTGGCTGATACATTTAGATGCCATTGCTGGAAACGTAGCCAGGACCTCAGTGGTTAATGTTGGGAAGAGACGCCTCGGAGTCATTTTTCTTTTTCCCCTAGAGGCTGTTAAGTCACTTTTTGAAGTTGGTGCCACTTTTTGAAGCAGCTCTCAAATGCCTTGAGCTCCTTTGGAAATGTCACCCTCGGGGTTCAAGAGCCCCTAAAATTTCTCCAATAGATTTGTGCCCTGCGTGGCTAAGGAGGGGCTCGGAGTAAAGTCTAAACCTTAAATGCCCACCCCTGTACTCAGAACAGGCTTCAAGAGGTGATTCAGTGGCACACGGGCGTGAGTTTTCACTCCTTGGTCGGGGCTATGGATGACTTTGGGGCTGACGACTAGGGCGATGCTGGAGGAGATGTTCAGGTGCCAAAGCCCAGTGGTTTGTGCTGCTGGATAATGCAGGAACCTACCTCCTGACACAGCTCCTCTTTGCCCTGTGGGAGATTCCCTGGGACCAGGCTCCTTCTGGACTCACAGGGACATGTGCCAGCCCCCAAGGTAACACTTGCCCTATGTTTTAATCTACCATTAAAAATATGTGCCTTTTTTCCCTCTTCATCTGCTTTTGTCTGGATTTTGCTTTACTTCTAGGTTTATTAATGTCTTTTTGCACAAGAGTAAGAAAAAGGCTTAGAAACAATTTGGGAGGAAAGGAGTAGAAACAAGCCTGGCAGAAGCTTGCACAAGTAGGTCTAGCAACTGGTGCCTGGCTTTGAAAATAGCTTCGTCTGTGTCTCCAGACATTTGGGTTGTGGATGGGATACGAAACTTCTCAATACCATCTGGCCCAGATTATTTTTTATTTCTTAATTTGATCTATCTTCTTCCTCCGGTTTCAGCGGTGGCTTTGTTTAACTGATTTTGAAAGATGTGTCGCAGCAAGTCATCGCATCAACAGGAGGATAAATAACTAGGAATATATCCAGTGCTGCCTCCCTCGTAAATGTGTGTGTCGATGGGAGGTGGAGTGGGGATAGTGTGTGTCAGTGAACGCAGAAATATTATCGTTAGGAATGATAGATTAAAAGAGAGTAATGCTTGGGGCGGCTTTGGAGAGACTGTCTGCAGTGGAAGTGGGATGAAGGCAATTAAGGGCTGAGCTACTGAATATGCTCGTGTCTGCGCTGCTTCTTTTTCTGTCTCTAATAAACACCTGCTGCCAGTGTGGATAAAAAAAAAGAGGTTATTGCACATGGGAGTGTGTTGAATGCAGATGCTGGAGGGTGATTTGGGACTAGTGCTTGCAAATGGCATTGAGGAGGCGGTTGCACGGCCTCACCAGAGCAGGACAGGGAATAAACAGACTCAAATATAGTGACAAAATGTGTGTAAGTGTAGGGACAGGAGGAAACAATGAGCAGGTACCCTTTGCTCTGGGAGGAGAGAAGGTTTCAAAGCAGGGTGCTGCCAAGGCTGGGACTGCTGTGCCCTGATATTTGTGCTTGTACTTCTCTCTTAAAATTGCCTCACCTCTAAAAAGGGCTGTTTTTCTAAGCCAGCCTGGCTCCCTGAGCCGGCGCTGGGGTGACCGCTCTGGATTTATTACCTTCGCTTGGGCGATCTTGTTCTTACCGACAGTTCAGCTGTTTAGACAGATGTGAGGATGGATGAATTTTTGCACATCTGGGAGGGCGGATGCACAGGGCGTGTGGCAGCAGCACTGGGGTGCTCTGGAGAGGGAGAAAAGGGGCTTCAACTTGTGAGAGAAATGCTCTTGTCTCCAGCGGCAGCACGTTCCTGCTCAACAGCCAGCGCCGATGGGGATGGCACCAGTAATGTCTGCACCTGCATCTGGAGCTTCTGTGGGACTAATTGCTGGTGTGGCTGAGCTGAATTTGTAGCAACAGCTGGAGTTTTGGTTGCAGATAGAAAAGCAGTTTTTTCTCTTACGTTCTGCTAAAAGTGTTTGCCAAGCTCACGTTGCAGATACAAGCTCAGCACAGAAAGCATCCTGTAGGGCTCACAGTGACCATCAACAGAGACACCTATGAATACTTTTATTTTGCACTTTTTTGTTTTTATTTTGGTCTTATTTTGGAGCATTATGTTGAAACGACTAAATCAAGTACTCTAAAGCTGGAAATTGACGGCATTCAAGGTTTCTGTGCTCTAAGACTGGATTGTGGCCAGTCCCTCGTGACCAGATGCATTGGGAGAGTGTGAATGTGGAGCAGGAATGTTTAACTCTGTCACACTTAACTGCACTCCTGGAACCTGGTTATGCATGCCCTGAACGTTTCTTTGGGCAGAGATGGTGTCTCTGTATTTAATAGCCCTCGGGGCTGTTCACCATTGATGGTCCCATCATTAACAGGAATGGTTTAAAATTAAACGTGCGACGGCTGGATTTGGTAGGATACAGCGTGTTTGGCCTCCAAGTAAATGCAAATTGTCATTTCCCATGGAAACAGGTAGGGCTGGGCTTGGAAGATGTGTGCTTGGATGGTGCTCAGCTGTCTGAGGGGGAAGAAAAATGTTTCAGTTCCTGTCTTGCTCCTTGGGCTTTCCTAAACATCCCACTTAATTCTCTTGTGTATCTTCATGCCCATAAGAAGCCATAAAACTAGGTCCTTTGTGTCTACCACAAACCCCTTTGGTCTCGGTAGAGCCTTTCTGGTGGTTTCTCTAGTCTCTGGAGGGCCTGGCTGAGCGCAAGGGCTCTGTGTCCTCATTAATTTCAATGTGGCATCATCTTGGTTTTTGAAAATCTCAGGATTTCAGCATTGTTCCTCCCCAAAAATGGCTGTATTCAAGCAAGGGCTGAGCTAAAGCTTCTCTCCGCAGCTTGAAAGAAAAGTTACTGGGGGATGGCTTTATTTTCCAGGGTTGATTAGTTGTTTTTCAATCTGACTTTGCTTCCCCCCCCCCTTTCTGAGATGACTGTTAGAGTGCTCAGTGTACCTGCACACGCCTGCTGTTAAGCCTGTCCTGGGAGGCTGGGCAGGAGGTGGGCTTATCTATGCAATATTTACCCCAAAATTGAGGTTTGGGGGTGTACCTGCACACGCCTGTCCTGGGAGGCTGGGCAGGAGGTGGGCTTATCTATGCAATATTTACCCCAAAATTGAGGTTTGGGCTTATCTGTTATTTGTGTGAAAGGTTTAAAAGCTCCCTGGGCAATTTGGACAAGAGGCTGGTTCCTTAGAAATCTTCCCAAATCCTCAAGGAGGATGTGCTGTGTGTTCCCACGGGGCTTCTTGTGGTTTTCCTGCATCCCTTGGGTCATCCTGTGGACATGTGCAGGGATGGAGGGGGAAAGGGAGACACAAGCAGTGTCCTGAGAAAGGAAATGTCTTACTGCTTCTCCCTAGATAGATAAGTGGAAAGGCTAAAAGACAATAGCAATGACTACTGACACGGTGTGAATACATTGGGTTTGCATCATGTAAATCTGAGAGATTTATCTGCATTTTGCAGGCTGGGGAATACATCAGAATTCATTTTAGCCCCTGAAAAAAAAAATTATAATATTTGGTCTCAGGAGAAATGCTGGGATATATCCCCTGTGGGATTTACTGGAATAATGCTCTTTATTCTGCAGAAAGCCCTGCAGTCGGGGAATCCTTTGTACCCCAGCTGCTTTGAATGTTCTATTGTGCAGCAAAGTAATGAAGAGATACTTGTTTTCCTCCATTTACTGCTTACCAAGCTCCAATGAATCCAGAACGTTAAAACAACCACTGCTGGCTACCTAGATTATTTCTTCCTCCTGCATCAATTAATTATGAAGGAAAAATTGTTATATGTTGTTACAGCCTTTAAAACTTGCTCTTCTGCTGTGCTTTCGTCTTAAATTCTTGCTCTTCCTTCTTCTGCCTCCCACTTTCTTTACCTGCCTAGATGGTTTTTCCCCGGCTCAATCATGGATTTCTGGCTAACGATCAGCTTGCTTTTAGCCGGCGAGTGCTCAAGGTAGATGTGTGGGCTCTGTGGCTGCTGGTTTGCTGTGATTCTTTTTATTGCTTTCATTTCTTTCTGTCTGTGCGCTATTGCTATTTTAACTTGTTGCTACCGTGGCTATGTTCAGAGGTGCTTGTTGAGACCACGCTTGAGTGCAATCCCTTTGGAATTTAGGGAGAGTGTTGTCAAAGCAGAGAGATGTAAAAGTGATGGGTTTTAGCATTTGGTCCTTTGTGAGAACTGGGAGTCAAGCAACAGAGTCCTATAAATGTTCATGTGAACAGTGCTGGTGTTATAAAATAAAATGCACTAAAACTGGGGTTTTCTAAATCCTCCTACTCTCAACGTGACGTTTTAATTAGGCAAAATTCAGTGGGAGACTCTGGACTTGACCTAATTGGATGCAGTGTTCAGCATTTGCAATAGGATTTTTTCAAAAACCACGCAAGAGATTTAGGAGCACAGATCTTGTTGAAAGGCCGTGGGATTTGTGCTGCTAAGTCACTTAAGGACTTCTGAAAATCCCACACTTGTCCCTGATTTGAGGGTGGACCACATATTAAACACAGGCACAGTACTGCCTCAGTGGTAACCCTTCCAGATGTTGCTAAAAGATTTATGAGATGGCCTTTCCGTGAGGTTTTCCATTGTGCAGCCGCATGGATGTGCCCGGCCACAGCCCCGGGGCTGGGCTGCGGTGGCCAGTGGTGGGTCAGGAGCAGATAACTGGGTGGTGGAGCCCCATGGGGTGTTCCCCTCCAGAGCAAGCACCCACCAACCCTTCCCAGTCACACCAAGATACAGCTGCTGCTTTTTTCTTTGCATCCAAGGGTGTGAGCTACACTGGATGTTGATGTATGACCATGGCTGTATTTAAAGAATACTACTAAGTGCTACTTTTTTTTGTGTATGTGTGTGGTGCACTGAGCTATAGAAGTGTGTGCATGCTCCATGCCAGCATGTTGTTGGGTCTGGGTTATTTCTGGGTGCTGCTGAATTGGTGGTTTCCATGCAGACAGTCACTGGGCAAGGGCTTAATGAGATAAAAACTCATTGGAAGGCATTGAGCAAAATCCTGGTTAAGGAACCAGACCCAAAGGGCATGAAGCGGCCGTGAGCTTCCAGCCTTCCCAATTGGCAGCTGTAATTAAATTCCTCTGGAATGGCTCAGGGATGCAGTGCATGTGTCATGGCCACCACTTGCCAACACTGCTTCATCTCACCATGTCTGTGTGAACTTCTTCCAGGGCGATCAAGGTCGAGATGGAGCCACTGGCCCCCCTGGTCCACCAGGACCCCCAGGTGCCCGGGGGCCTCCTGGTGACACAGGAAAAGATGGCCCAAGAGGACCTCCAGGCCCCCCTGTAAGGACGGGAGATGTGCAGCGAGCACATGCTGGGCAGTTCCCACCCCCGTGAGGGAGAGGAAGGTGAAGGGTGTCCCTTTCCCTGGTACTGCCACCCAAGTGCTGGGTCCCCATCCTGGCCCAGCCGTTGGGCTCTGATGGTCAACCAAACCATGACACGGCTCATACAGCAAAGCTTTGGGGTGTAGGGCCAATGGAGCAGGAGAGGACCTTCCATCTTCAGTTTTTGGAGCAAAGAGCTGGACCTGGAGCATGTATTTATGGGTGCTGGTTGTAACTCAGAGAGCCCAGAGGAGAGCTCTTCCCTGATCTGTAGGCTTCAGGTGACTTGTTGCGAATCTCCAGCTCACTGGCAATTCATTTAATAAAAAAATAGGCTGCAACACAATACAATTAAATGTCCTAATTATTGCTGAGCGTTTTGGAGAATGAGAGATAATAGTTTCGATGTTGGCCTTTTTATTTTTGCAGGGTTTCAAAGGCGAGCCGGGAGAGGACGGCCTCGTGGTTAGTATTGTCCAGCAGCATCCATGTGTGTGTGTCCCTCACCCACCTGGCTCTACATCGCTCTTCAGCTCACTGCAGCAAGTGGCTTTGTGTCATTGCTTATGGGGAAACCCATGGGAAATTATGGATGCCCTAAAATGTCCAAGGGTACCTGTGCCCTGGGCAGAAAAGGGGCCAGTCTTTTCCCCCTGGGCTTCTCCAAAGGGATGTGCTGCTCCTGTATCCCCTCTTCTGCCCCTCTGAAGCCTCCTGGCATTGTACCTCCAGTTCACTAAGGCCGAGGTTGGGTTTTAAAAGTGCTTATTATACATTAAAATATACAAGCCACAAAAGAAAATTTATTATTTACTGGGAGCACAAAGAACTTACAGCTGTATTTGTAAGGGAAATTGGCATCTGTGTCTTTTTTTTTTTTTTTTTTTTTGGAATATTATCTGTGTCTTTTTTTTTTTTTTTTATTGGAATTGAAGTACTCTTGAAAATTTTTTTATCCTGTTATACTCTATTGTCATATTGAAGTACTCTTGAAAATTTTTTTTTATCCTGTTATACTCTATTGTCATATAAATATACCAACTACTCTTATATTCAACAGGGTGCCAGGGGACCTCCAGGACTGAAGGTGGGTAACAAGTATTTATAAACTTATCTGTCTAATTTTAACACAAATCCTTGAAATATTGCTGTGTTGGGGGTGTGGAGATGAAAATACATATTTCACACTGGGCTTGTACTCATCTGTATTGATCAGATAATAGAATTTCAAAGGTATCAAATTAGCCGTTGACTTGGAGCTGCAAATGTCTGACTGGATGTGTTACCTACACAGAAAGCACAACCATTTTCCATGTTAAAACCTTGAAATGGGGCTGATTGACTTGGAGCTGCAAATGTCTGACAATGTGTTACCTACACAGAAAGCACAACCATTTTCCATGTTAAAACCTTGAAATGGGGCTGGAAGCTGGTGTGCTGCGGGAACGTGCTTTCTTATGTTGAGGGGTGGTGGGATAAAGACGACCAACACAACCCAAGTATTTTAACTTTACAATTAATTTTGAGTATCCTTACAACTGTTCTTATTTTTTGTTCTATCCTTAAACTTCTTTCTTCTCGTGTGTGTTGCTGTTGAAGGGGGAGCCTGGCATCCAAGGGAAAAAGGTAAAACAGTAGTGGTTTTTTGTTTGGGTTTTTTTTTTTCTTTGCTCTGTGCTTGACTGGGGAAACCATTGCCAGAGACTGATGGAGAAGCCATCTCCATGGATGTCCATACCAAGCCCGTCCTCATGTTCACTGGGGTTTCTTGCACATGCGACCGTGAAGCACAGACACGGCTGTGCCTGCAGCCTGGTTTTCATTACCACATGCAAGCCAGAAGCTGCAATCACATCTGCCCAATAGACAAAGAATAAAATAGCAAATACCAAACAAAGCAGTAGGTCTTGAGCCCTTTTGCTCCAATAATTCAAGCAGGACTGAGAAGCGCCTGGAGGCTGTTATTTGCCCAGGGACCCTTGGGATGGGCTTGAGATTCCTGGGATGGGCATCCCTGCACAGCACCTGGGTCTCGTGGGGATTGCCCACTCCGTAAGGACAGGCACCCTGCTTGGGCTGGGCATTGAAAACTGCAGGAGATTCACGTGTCCGAGCTCTCCACGTTTTCTTTTGGCAGTGCCATCAAGGAGTGGATAAATCACTGCCTTTAACTGGAGCCAAAGCACTGACAGGGCCCCAGTCTTTCCCTCTTACTGCCCTGCCCCAAAACAGACATGGACATGGGTGTTTTTTCAGGCCAGAACTTGGCTTAAAAATTTCGTAACTGACCAGTAAAATTAACCACTTCAGCTCCTATGAGGTGATTTTACTCCAGGAGAACAATGAAGCGTGACAAGTGAAACAAGAAGATCTGTTGGCAGATGGGTGTGCTGGTGACTTGTCGTGAAGTGCATGAGGATGGGATGGCAGCTTGCAAGAAGTCTTTGGGACCCAAAAAGCCTAAATGGATTAAATATCTAATTTCTATTAAAGATGGGAGAGCACCTTCCCCAGGGCCTGCTGTAAGCAAATTCTGGAAGATGCCCATCTGCCACCCTCAGGGCAGAGGAAGCAGAGCTGGGTGGGAGCAGAGGACCACACTGGAGCCTTCTGGGCTCCTTGCTGTAGCTTTTCACCAGCCTCCTGTACACTAAGTGGGTCTCAGGTCTGTGTAACACTCAGTGGGGTCAAATAAAGTGTTGGGTCCCAATGACACGTGTTTAGAGCTCTTTGTATTTCACCTTTTATATTTTATTTCATCAGGGTGATGATGGGATCCCCGGAGAACCAGGACTTATGGGCCCAAAGGTATGTTCTGCTCTGTGTCCATCTAATGTATGTGCTTTTGCTATTTGGTTTCCTGGCATGGTATCACAGTTGGGGTGGGTTGAGAAGCACATTTCTCCCCTGACATGGAAAAAGGAACAAAAAAAAAAAAAAGAGAAAAAGCATAACCCACCCTTCTCTCTTGGTAGCTCTGCCCAGGAAAAGTTTGCGAATGTGACTTGTTGAATATGGCAGAGAATTGTCATTTAGAGGCTCCTCTTGCAGAAGTAAATCAGGAATGTTTTGTTGGGGTGGCCTGGAGCTGGGGGATGTGGGTTTGCACTGCCCAGATCAGGGTGCAGTGGGCTCTTTGCAGGAGTCTTGTGCAGGTGCAGCAGTTTTGGGGCTAACTTTATGGCTGAACATACCACCTGCAGCCGAACTGTTAAGCCTGAAAGCTTCATTTTTATCTCAAAAACTCCTCTTTTGCACCTAGGCAACATGAAGTATTTCAGGCTCAAAGCACTCATGTATGTAGAAGTTAGTTGCTTAGATACTTTGTTGTATCTAAGCAAGAAAATTGTAACCTGAAGAAATCTGTTTTCCGTCCTACCTGTATAGCATTTGTCAAAATTGTCTTGTTTTCAGGGAGAAAAAGGAAGCGTGGGTCCCAAGGGAGAGAACGGCACAGAGGGCTTGCCAGGACCCAAGGTAAATAAAAGTCCATTAGCTGGGAAGCTGAGGGAGGCTACTGAGGCTCTGGAGGGCTTCAGCTGAGTAGGTGTTTTAAGCCTTTGCCTTCTAAAAGGCTCATAAAATGGCCAAACTGAAACAAAACAGTGGGATGTTAGGAGGTATTTTACCTTTTCCTGATGATTTAATGAAAGCTGGATTCAAGCAGAGATCAGTATAAGAGCTTTTAGAATTGTCTCCTGATGTGTTTTTCATTGAATTGATTCTGTTTTTCCCCCAAGAGAGCTAACCCTCTGATCACGTTTGATCCGAGGTACCGCTGGCTGCGGTGCCGCTTCAAAGCCCAGAGCACTTACGTGCTGTCCTGTTCCCCTGACCTTCGTGACTGCCAAGAACTGCAATAAGACAGTTTTGATATGTTCCGTGGTGATGATGAGACCCGCACAGCATTCGCAGGCTGTTATTTCCCCTCTCAGCTGCTTCTTATTTAGTAGGATCTGTATCCAGTCGTGTTTTCTGCACAGAACAGCCGGGGCTCATTGTTGGGCAGGAAACTGTATACGATGAAGAACCATGGGCTAGGATGACCCTTAGCCATTTATTTTTTTTCCTAAAACCATAGTAGCAGTGATGGTTTGTTCCCCCTGGGATCTGCTGAATTGAGTTTTCCTACGGAGAGTCTATGCATTTATACCACTTCTTACTTTTTGGAGGGCTTTAATTTGGCCAGCAAATGGGTTTTCACAGATACGGCAAAAGGTGCATTTTTTTTTTTTTTTGAATCCTGAGCTGAGGTGCAGGTCACTGCTGTGAGAGTGCTACAGCTTTCCAAAACTTCCCAATTTCCCAAGAAAAAAAGAAAAGGGGGGGGAGAGGGGAAGAAAAATAAAAAAAGGAAAAATTTGGCACAGCCCTTTTCTTTAAAGTCACCCTCAAAAATGGTTTAAACGTGTCGGCTGAGATTTTACACACGCAAAATTCAGCCTAAAGCAAAGAGAGAGCTGTGTGAATCCTCGGCACGAGGAGCTGGAGCTTGGCACGTTTGGAGCAGCCAGCAGAGCCACAGAGCAGCACATTACCATTACCAGGAGCTCAGTCCTGAGCAGGGCCACTGGTCAACCAGCTCACACCAACGCTATTTTTTTGCAAAAGATATTTGTTCTGAAGTCAAATCTATCCTTTTGCTAGGAGAAGCAGTTGCTTGTTGGTGCTGTACTTTTTCTTAATCTAAAACACGTGGCATCTCGTGTAGTTACGGTATTTTTAAGATAAATATCCTGTATTTTCCTTGGTCTCTCTGAATCAAAAATGTGACCTTGTTTTTCAGGGTGAAGCTGGTGAGAAGGGAGGAATCGGCTCCATCGGACCCCGGGTATGGATGCTCAGGGTTTTTCCTTTTCAGTTTGGAGTTGTGTCTTTGCCGTGAGCTGTTCCCCACTACCTCCTACTGCCTAGTATGCAGCTGAATGGCTTCAGCATCAGTTCAGTGCTAAAAAATAGAGATGCTGCATATTTAAATGAATCATTATGCAGGTACCAGACGCTGCCATGGGAGGTAGCTCTGGGAAATGCAGTCAAGTCCAATTTTCTTATCAGCATGACCATCCTGTGACCCTCTTTTGCAAGAGGGAAGATGTGAATGGGGGTAATCAAGTGAAGGTTTCTATGTGTTTCTCAGTCACACAAATTTATGCCTTTTTGAGGTTTGGTTGGATGACAGTTACAGCTGTCAGACTAGGAGCTGATTAAATTGATGGTGTTTGTAAGGTGATAATTCCCCAAACACCTGGGTGTCAGGTCTTTGCTTTCATACCACTGACTTCTCGGATGTTGCAGAAACTAAATAGGATTTATTGCTGGTTGCAGGGTCCCCCCGGCCTGAAAGGGGAACAGGGTGACACCGTAGTGATCGACTACGACGGCCGAATCCTGGATGCCCTCAAGGTAAGTCCCACACCAGGGCAGTGCCCATTCCTGCAGGTTAATGGGAAGGGGCTGGGAAAGCTGCTGGGCTCTGGCACAGTGACGTTGTGCACCGTCGTCTGTCCCTGTCCTACTTCTCCTTCCCGAGATCTCAGTCTCAGCACAGAGCTGGCTGGGAGGGAAGAGCTTATCGCATCGGGGGGCTGAGGATATTTAGGGTGTACCAGCAAAAAAACGTGGCAAAACTTGAGTCTGTGAACTCAGGCTGGGTACCAGGCTCGTGGGACGAGGATGTGGCGTGCGAGTTAATATTCCGCAGGTAAAAGCAACACAACACAGCCCGTGATATATAAACACCTGATGCAATGAGTGATTTCAGCCAAATTACAGCTTAACCACTGCTGCTGTGGGGTGTTATTTCCCCCCTGCCATGCCCCAGCCCAGTGTGGAGACACTGTTTTCACTGCGCGTCCTCTGGAGCAGTTTTCTCCACAAGCAGCCATGGGGATGCAGGAGGATGGGAGATTAGTCCCTGAGCCCTAACCTGCCCGGCCCAACAGCACCCTGCCATTCTCATTAAGATGAAAGAAGCCGAATAGAATAAGTACTTAATTACAGACACATTTGAGAACCATCCTAATTGTTTTATAACAGGCTGCAGGGATACACAAAGTGATGGTAATTACCGTTTGCCAGATGTCTGCACGGCATGCAGCTTTGTGAGTGGAGTGTGTGGAGTGCACTGGTTGGAGAGGCTCCATCAAATGTCTGGAGACTTCGTCTGCGGGGTCCAGACCCTCTCCCGTGTGCTGCATGTGGAGGTTGCTCATTGAACAGCGCTAATTTTGCCATTTTCCTACTTATTAGTTATTTTTGGTGTTTGCTCGCTGACTTGTCTCCTGGACAGAGCTTTGGAAAGGGGTGGCTTTACAAGGCTCCCAGTGTGATTAAATATAACAGCATTTCTAGTCGTGGAAAATGGTGCTTGGGGGTGTGATATGGTTTCGTTTTTCAGCTGAGTGAGACCATGAGTTTTGCTGTTTGAAATAATTTGCAAGTTGTAAAATACTTGTTCTTCTCAAGGTGGTTCATGGTCTCTGCACCCAGCAGTGCCCAGGAAAAAATAGCAATGTTTTCCTGCTGTTAGTGCTCACACAAACTCCTTCATTTCCCCTCTTTAATTGCACCTCCCTGGCCGGTTGCTGCTGTTTTCAGGAGGATTCTTCTCCCCAGCCCGGCTGGATGGAAGGGGAAGGATGCAAAAAGAGGAAACCCAGTTTGGGGTCACACCTCCAGCTAAAGGCATTTTGCCCCTTAAACACGTGCTGCTGCACCCACATGGCTCCAGCCCCATTTTCTTTTGCATGAACATCCCCTGTGCCAGAGGGGTCCTTGGGTCGCCTCCTGTCAGCAGAGTTTGTTGTGGTGTTGGGGGTCACACCGGTGTCAGTTGCAGACCGCAGCCAGGAGCTGCTCCCCACTTGTCCCTGGCAGTGTGGGGATAGGGATGTCCCTGGCAGTGTGTCATGTTCATGTCAGTCGTGCTCATGCCCGATTTGTTTGCTGTGTTTCAGGGTTCGCCGGGTCCCCCAGGGCCACCGGGCCCCCAGGGCGCTCCAGGTCCCAAGGTGAGCCCAACCTCTGCCGTGCAGACGGGGTTTCCTAGCAAGTGATGTGTTCATTAGCAGTTTTCCATGTAGCAAGTGTCTTAGCAAGTGTCTTCCAAGCCAAAATTAAGCAGGGCTGTGGGGCTTGAGACTACACGTGGTAAAGGAAATATTGTTTAATGCTTCCTTGGGCTGATAACAGAGGTTTTCACACAAAATGCAACATTTTGTTGACCTGTCTCTGGACTTCAGACTCTTCCAGGGGATGCTGTCCCAGAAATGAATCCACTCCCAATCCTACCCCAATAGGTGAAATTCCAGCACCTCACAGATTTCCTTGTTGCAGGCAGAAGTAACTGGGAGAAGCTGTTGTGAGTTTTGTTGACCTGTCTCCAGACTCTTCCAGGGGATGTTGTCCCAGAAATGAATCTGCTCCCAATCCCACCCCAATGGGTGAAATTCCAGCCCCTCACAGATTTCCTTGTTGCAGGCAGTGGGAGGCAGAAGTAACTGGGAGAAGCTGTTGTGAGGAGGGGCTGGTGGTCCCAAAGGCTTTGCCAAGCTGCCCTCCATCCCACCCTCCCCGTGTGCTTCTCGCTGCCCCAGCACCATGTCCAAGTTGGGACCACACTGTCCTCCCACTATACAAGCAATAGCCAGAATAAATTCTTCTTTAAAAGAAGAATTTAACTTGCAGAAAAGCATCTCTTGGATGGATGGGATTGGGCAGGATTTTGGTGCCTCTTGAGGGCTCCATGTTGCCCAAATTGGGATGAGTTGGTAATTCTGGCACATGGCTGAAAGCTCCTCGCTGCTGCTTCTGAGCCTGGCAATGCCAAATTCATAACCACAATACTTGATACACGTGAATAACACGTGAATTCCTTGCAAAATGCTTTCCCGAGATGATTTCTTGATTTAACTTCCCCTTTCTTTGTGTCACTTCAGGGAGAGCTGGGTTTGCCGGGTCCACCTGGGCTGGATGGTGAAAAGGTGCGTGGGGCACGGCTGAATTGAGCAAGACCTTGCAGGAGCCGAGTTAAAACAAATAAAACTCCTTTTTAGTTGTGTGTCCCTGAGAGCTGGTGCTGTGAAAAGCAAATCTCATCGTGCCAGGAGCAAGCTCTGCCCCGTAACATCCAGCTGCACCTCCTTGAATTAATCACCCATTGCTCAGCCATGAGCAGGGCAGATGCTGCTCGTGGCCACGTCTGCCGAGCCAACGGGGCTCCTTTTACCAGTGGTTCATCAGACACTGTCTCAAATTCTGTTGTAAAACTTCCCAGCACTAAATGGCTGTGATCCCTGCCACGGCCCAGCCAAATTCTGCTGCGCCTGCGAAACTGGAGTATGGGAGTTTTAACGTTAAAAGATGTTTTCGTGAGCTCGTCCTCCAACATGGAGAGAAACAGCCAAAAGGTAGAAATGGCTGTTGTGGATTGGTTTGGTGGTGGTTTGGTTTTGTTGGGTTTTTTTTAAGTTTTCTCCTAAGCAAGTTGTTTTCTGTATACTTCCAGGGTCCCAAAGGAGCGAAGGGGGACCAGGGCAGCGTGGGGATCACGGGACAGAAGGGAGAGACGGGAGAAATGGGCTTATCGGGCCCCCCGGTACGTCCCTCTGTCTGTCCCTCTACGTCTGCTGCTTGGCTCTTTTGATGCATTGATTTCTGCAAACGCTTGGTGGATGTGGCTGGGTTTGCTGAGCCAAGCAATGGCCTGTCCACACCACGTTACTGCAGAGCTGCAGGATGTGGGAGCTTGGAATTTTATTTGCTGCTAACGGCTTGTTCAGAAGGTGTTCTAAGCTGGCAGCAAGAAGGAGAAAATCTCCTTTCCTCAGGCAGTCCCAGGGGATGAAGAATAGCTTTACTTGAGCCAAGGCTGGAGTTTAGAGGAAGGCAAATGAATTTTTCTCTCGTATTTGCTTTCCTGGAAGATGCACCTCATCAGCGTTATGTGTTTATCTTTTAGGGACCAGAAGGGCCAAAAGGAGACAAAGGAGAAAAAGGAGACACTGGGTCACCGTGTTTGCAGAATAATCACGTAAGATCCTGGCACCGTAGAGCCTCTTCCCAACACGGGGTCTGGCAAAGTCGGGGGGTGCAGCCAGAGCTTCCCATTCTGTACCCGTGAGGGGAGGGGAGCAAAACCCAGCTGTCTTCTACAAGAACTTTCAGATTTGTCTAAATGGGGTTTATTTGTTAGGGAAGAATACTTTGCACCCTCAGCGCCACAAAGTTACTTTAGATTCTGCATTGATGGCTGAGATATTGGCTGCTGCTGTTATAATTATGTTCAATTCTAAAAACACATTGGGCTCCTTGCAGTTTTACAGGGTTTCTGCATCCTATTTTTTTCCTTAATTACATCTTTTGCTTAAAAATAAAAGAAGTGGTGAGTTTTCATAGTTTTTTATTAATGACATGAGAACTCTAATTTTGGGGACTTTTTTTTTTAATCAAAAAGGCTGGTTTCCTCTAGTCTGTGCAGAGAATTGCATCATTTTCCATTACATGCGTTTTGTGACTGGCAAATACACTCAGTGGGGTGGGTCACACCTCTCATGTCAGAGACTAGCTTGATTCTTGTGCTTATTTAGATTCATTTATTTATAAATCCTACAAGCAACTCCTTGATTAGCAGATATGTTGATTGAAGCCATTTCATCAGAGGGTATAAAATCAAGATTCTGGGCTGGGTGAAGCTTTCATTCCCAACCTGTCTTCTCTCTGTGCCCAGCCCTGTTAACGTGCCGTTTAATTCCCTTCTGCAGATCATTCCTGAGCCCGGACCCCCCGGATTACCCGGCCCTATGGTAGGACTTTGGAAAGCTGATTGAGTAATTGAGTGTTGCTGCAGATTTGTTATCACATGTGATTAGCTAAGGATGAGGGTGGTTTGCTGTCTTTAATCATTGTGGGCTGCTGGGAAACCAGGAGAAAAATCAATGCCTACAGCGTTGGGTGCTGCTTTCAGAGAGATGGAAGCACCTGATTTAGGAGAGTGTATCAGCATTTGTGGCACATTTTGCAAATATCTGAGTTGCTCCTTGGGGTGGAGAAAAGGTAAAACCTTGTGGGATGGGAAAAGCCGTTTTCCCCATGATAGTGTCTGTGTTCCCACAAATTTGCCCAAGTTGGTAAGTTTTTGCCATCAGTTGCAGTGGGAGAAGAAGCGGGTGGTGAGGAACACGTGGAGCGTTTTTGATGCAGATGCCTGAGGTGCCTGGTACCTTCGATACTCCAAAAGGCTGAGGAGCCATTGAGGGCATTGGGAAGGTCAAGATGCTTCTGCTGTGTCCAACCTTGAGATGTACCACACTTCAAAACCTGGCAGTGTTCATAACCTGGGAAGTGTCCCCAGCCCTGCTGGGCTCGGGGGGCTGTGGTGGCAGAGGGGTGTCAGAGCTCACTGTCACTTGCTTCAGGACAGCAAAGCTCCCCGGAGCTCCTGTTGCAGAGCTTTATTGTTGCACATTTCACAAAGTGGTCCTTTTCAGTTCGTCTCCCCCAAGTCTGACGTCGGAGAACCCAATGAACTGCCACCTGTCTCGAAAAGAAATATTTGGCCATTGTCAGCCCATAATTTGAGCAAGAAACGGTTTGGGAAGCAAACTTTGGGGTTTGTCTTTAAATGCTGTTTTTTCAAATGCACCATTGTCTTTCCCGCAGGGTCCTCCAGGAATCCAGGGGCCTAAAGTAAGTCAATAAATTAAATGTCACCCACTGTTTCCAGGCTGCCAGTGCATTATTTACAGGCTCACAAAGGCCTGTCAGCTCTGGAAACTGATTTTTTTTTTGGTCGCTGTTTGTGACAACACAGCCCTTCGTTGTGCTGTTCAGCAGTTGGTGTTTTGGAAAACAAGGCTTTTTTCCTTCCAAACACATTTACAGTCTTAAACCCTCCTCCAGCACGGAGTCCTGAGGGCCGGCAGCACATGCGAGTCAGGGTTTCCTAACCCAGAGTGAAAAAGCTGTTATTTTCAACTATTTTCTTATATGGTCTGGTCAAGAGGAGAACGTCAATGGCAGGGTGGGTATCCGCATCCCAGAGATGTGGGAGAAGGTGGTGAATGTGTGACTGGCTGTCGGGCAGAGCTGCCAGGTCTTCTTGGTTGATGGCATTTCTTTTATGCAGGGCTTGGACGGTGCAAAGGGAGAAAAAGGTGACAGTGGTGAGAAGGGGGACCACGGCGACCCTGGACCTGCTGTGAGTCGTTTCCTGTGTCTCATTTCTGGCCATCGCCAGAAAACCTGCCTTACAGCAACCATCCCAACACCTTGTTCCTTTTTTCCTGAAGGGTCTCCCTGGTGCTCCTGGGCTCATCGGTTTACCCGGCACCAAAGGAGAGAAGGTAATTGTGGGTGTGGGAAAGGAGTGGTGATGTTGTGGTGTAATCCCAAAATAAGGGCTGATAAAACCCCTGCCATGGTGGGTCCACCGGCACTATCCCGACGTGTGGCGAGGAGCTCCCCTCGAGTCCTGTGGGGTGTTGGGCAAACCCATGCTGTCACTACTGGAGTATTTCACCAACTGGATAGAAGTTTGCCTGCAACGCCAAATTCAACATGGCACGTCTTAATTTGTATTTTTACAACTGCAGGGAAAGCCGGGGGAGCCAGGATTGGATGTGAGTATGGAAAACATTAATTGTGATATGTAGAAACATGAAAAAGCCAGAAAATTGTTTGAGATGGTCAGAAAACCATGCAGCTAGTGCTGTAGGCGTTGCTGTCCCTGCAACACAGTGCCGGCAGAACGATGTCTGTAGGAAAGGGCTTACTTCAGGCCAGTTGCCAAACACCTTCCCCTGCACAGCGGTAACTGCTGGGCTGAAGATATCACAGGGGGTTTCCCTTTCCAGTTGAGAATGTTTGTATTGGATTCTGTGAAACAAAAGTCTCTGATAGGTGTAATGTTACTGGGGGTAGGTAGAGCATTCACTTTCCCAAGAAACTGCTGACACAGGAAGTCAACAGGAAGAAAATGTCATATTCTTCACCGTGGGAGGGTGGGTTGGTGCTGGAGGTTGCTTATGTTGAACTGAGATGCTGGGACGTTCACACACTAAACTTACATATCTCTATTTTTTCCCCCCTCCCCCACCTAAAAATTGCTGCAATAGGGTTTCCCAGGTCTCAGAGGAGAGAAAGGAGAGAGAAGCGAAAGGGGCGAGAAGGTGAGTGGGTTGTGGCTGTAGAGATGCTCATGGGGCAGGACTGGTTGCTCTTTTTAGCAGGCAGTGATGCTTTTCCAGGGTGCTGGTTCCCTCTCCAGCCTGGCAGTGTTTCTCAGGTGCAAGGCATTTTCTGTGGCACAAGGATTTGCGTGGTCCCAGTGTAGGGCAGGACGTGCAGTTAATTCCCACCCACTTGGAAGTCCTTTCTGCAAACCTGGCCTCCCGCCCCCAGCACCACCATTGTGGGGAAATGGAGCAGGCTGACAGCTCCGGGTTGGGAAGAATCACTAAGTTTTGGTTTATAGACCTTGAAAATGGATCTAAGTCAAAGGTTTTGTTACAGTGATTCTTAAATAAAAGGGTGCCCAGTCGGAGGCCGGAGCCCAGCTGAGCGCAGGGCAGGGGCTGAAGCCAATGGTCCCAGTTACTGTCAGATACCAACCTGGTTTCTAGCAGAAACCGGTCACTTAGTCATTCTGTTATAAAATTATCTATTAAAATATCTCCACCCAGCTTTAACTGAAGATTTTCACAGTGATTTAATCACTCAGTTGAGGTTTACACTAGCTCAAACGTCCCTGCTCTGGGTGAGCTGGGGGACTCTGCTGCGCGAGTTCAAGCCGAGCTGTTTCCCCTCCTGTTCCTGATATTTTTCCCCTTGGGCCAACAGGGCGAGCGAGGAATACCAGGGAGAAAAGGAGCCAAAGGGCAGAAGGGGGAACCGGGCCCTCCTGGACTGGATCAGCCTTGTCCCGTGGTACGTCTTTTATTTCACTCTTTCTAAGCACCCGGTGCCGGGACTGAAAGGGGACACGGCTTCGAAGCCAGGGAAAGGGAGGGAGGATTTGGTAGTTCTTCATTTCGCAGTAAATCAGAGCAGATGGTTATTGTTTTCTCACTTTTCTTAATGGTTTGTTTTATCTGCACTGCTGGAAATTCACTGCTTGCTCCTCTCTGGCCAGATGGGAGCAAGCCACAGCAGTAAAAATAAAGAATCTTTGTGGAAAGACCTTCTTATTGTAGTGGGGAACAATGGGCTTCAGTGACGCTCTTCAGGAGATAGCGTGCCCTGGTGAAGCTGCCGGCCTGGCCTCTGAGTACGTTTGAAACCGGGGAGTAACTCAAGGCGGCGGATGGTGGGAGGTGGATCTGAAAACCAGGTCAGCTCCATCCCTTCATCTCCACAAACCCAGCGAGGGATGAGCCCAGCTCCAGCTCTCCCAGGTGGGGAAGGGGGTTGGAGTTGATAACATCTCTGTGCTGGCAAGGATCAGGGATGTACAAACTGGAGCTCCCCGGGCTGCCAAGAGGTGCCTCTGGGAGGGAGAAGAGACCTCCCTGTGTTTCTCCACCCAAGACAGCAGCTCGTGGCTCAGGTCTGTCCCTTCCCGGGCTTGTCCCATGCAGGCACACAGGGGCTTTGCAGGAAACCGCCTGGTGTTTGGGCCTGAGGAAGGTGGACCTTCCAAGTCCCCTCCAGAACCTCTCCTTCCTTTGATAGGGCCCAGGGAAAAAAAAAATATAGATCTATACTGGTTTATAAGAAGTTATCTGGCCTGGTAAAATTTACTTCCTTTTCATTACTATTTTTCATACAATGACTAAAGCCAAAGAGATCCTTTCCTTACATTGCTTTGAGGGTGCAGGATGTAAGAATTATTTGTATCAGCTACTGAACCAAAACTACTTAAATGCAGCTGGTAGTCCTCAGCTGAGCTGCCCCTAACTGGTATTGCCAGGTACCTCCTCCAATATGCTCCAAAAGACCCATTTCTTTCCTAAATGTGTGACTTTGCCATCACTGTGCTGGCAGGGGGAGAAGAATCTCAGCTGCTGCCATACAGCTCTGCTGTACCAGCAAAAAGCTCCTTCAGTCAATATGCTTTATTTCGCTTGGAGACTGAGCGTGAACTCCAGTTAATTATTTCGTTTCTGATGGGTCACCTTTCCTCCTCAACTTGCTGGATGATTTAACCCTCATCTTTTTCACCGCGCTGTTAAAATCGTGAACCTCTGGTTTGTGTATAGAAGATCTTTCCCAGATGACAGACTCTACGTGTCTGTGAATTCCCTGCCATAAACAACTCTGCTGACCTGCCGTGTCATCAGAAATGGAGGTGTAAAGTTCTGGGCCTGTCCTCCTCTGCTGAAACATGGGTGTCTGAGGAGCTCCTGTGTCCATTATTCATTCTCAACAAGCAGTTATTTTTCCAAACAGGGAGATGGGAGCGTGGCAGGCAGCAAAGGGGACCCAGGTGTACCAGCCCTGGTGGGGCTGAGCATGCCCTGCCCGTTGGTACGGTATCTGCTCGCTTGCTTTCTTGCATGGCTTGTGTGTGTTTGCTGTCACCCTGTCCTGAGGAGAAAACCCCTCCAGGGAGAGGAAGGAAGGACACGCGGCAGCAGAGATGGAACAAGATGTTTCACTTGGGCACTGGGGGAAGGACACCGGTGTGTTGTGCCGTCTTCTTCCCAGTTAAAGTTGCTCTAGATAAGGAGTGTAAGGAATGGGAGATCACACAGGGGATGCCTGTCCCTTTATGGATATGATCCTTCCCCTCTACTCTGGTGAGCCCCCACCAGCAGTGCTGTGTCCAGCTCTGGGGCCACCAACATCAGGACATGGACCTGTTGGTCCAGAGGAGGCCACAAATATGCTCTGAGGGCTGAAGCCCCTCTGCTGTGAGGACAGGCTGAGAGAGTTGGGGGGTTCAGCCTGGAGAAGAGAAGGCTCCAGGGAGACCTTGGAGCCTCTTCCAGTCCCTAAAGGGGCTACAGGAAAAATGAGGAGGGACTCTTGATCAGGGAGTGGAGGGATAGAATGAGAGGGTAACAGTTTTAAACTGAAAGAGGGGAGATTTAGATGAGATATTAGGAAGAAATTCTTTCCTGTGAAGGTGGTGGGACACTGGCCCAGGTTGCCCAGAGAAGCTGTGGCTGCCCCATCCCTGGAGGGGTTCAGGGCCAGGTTGGAGGGGGCTTGGAGCAACCTGGTCTGATGGGAGGGGTCCCTGCCCAGGGCAGGGGGGTTGGACTAGATAAACTTTAAGGTCCCTTCCAATCCAAACCATTCTGTGATTCTCTGGTAACAGATGCTGAAAATTAGTTCTGGCTTCTCTTGGTACCTACAGCCCAGTTTGGTTCCCCTTGAGCCTGTGCTGCTGCAGCCCTGGGGGTCTGGTTCCCAGCTGGGTTCTGACCAGCCTTCCCCAAACACCCGGACAGTTCTGCGGAGCGGTGGCTGGAGGGGGTCACGGCCACTCTGGGCACGAGGAGGGCATTTGCTGGGTCAGGACACAGCTCTGTCCCCAGTGCTGATGCAGGAAGGTTCACGCTCTGTTCCCCGACAGGGCTCTGCACAACTAGCTAAAAGAGGTCATTGTTTTATTTTCATTTTTTTTAACCATAGAAAATGCTGCATGTTAGATGATTTGCAGTTGTCTTCAGAGAAACAAAAGGGCAGTAAGCTCCCTCTCTTTCAAAAAGTTAAATTACTTTCATATGTGTCAAAGAAACCAATTACTCGCAGCAGCCCCGCTTCAACTCTTCGTATTTACTCCCCGGAGATGTTCTATTTACCAAGTCTCTCCCATCTTAACTGTAGAGACAACCCAAGAGCTATCTGTGGTGAGGGCATTGTGAACTGCAGTAGGTGATTTCTCCAGTATGTGATGAGTTAGAAGAGCACTTGCAGATCTTCCCACTTGTGTGGGAGGGTTGGTTGCATGTTGGCTGGGGACTGCTGTCCTCGTTCTCCACCCCACCGTAGGGTGGAGACTCCCTGGGTTCTTGGTGATGGCTTTTCAGTCCAGGAGCATGAGCCTGAGCCTTAACACCCAGGCTGCAAAGCTCTTTTTAAGTGGACAAGTCATTCTGGAATCACTTGGGTGAACCATGGTAGAAAGGCGTGGAGTTTTATAGTGGCCAAAATTAAGCATTTTGAGTGCAAAGAAAGGAGAAAAAGCCCAGGGCAGAAATCAACCCCGTGACCATCGGTGTTAGGATGTGCTCTGCCAGCAGGTCAGGATCCTTCTAGGTCAAACAGCTGCTCTGTGCCCTTTACCCTGCACCCCGAGACAACTCTGGCAAATGTATAAATTGCACTTTTTTATGAGTAGTTACGGACCAAAATATTTACTGGTGTCAGCAGAAAATAGTGTGTTTTCTAACGAATGTTATAGGAAAGCATGTGAAACCCAACTTGAGCTGTTACACCGTGAGTAGCTGGAGAGGGAAACCTTACTTCACTGCGTCTGTTTTATTGGGCATCGGCTATTTTACATATAAAATCAATACAGAATACAAAAAATGTGATGACTGACATTTACAGTAAAAAAATGTAAAAATGCATTTTGACCTACGTTTGCACCAGCAGTTCTCTGCGCTGCCCACCCACCCCCGGTTACCCTGGAGGTGGCTCAGGGAAGGTCAGTGCTCCCTGTGGCTCTACAGGCAGGAATTCATGCAATCACAGATCCCAGGGCCTTAAAAAAAAAAATCCAGCGTCAGAAAAGGCAGCTGAAGTCAGCTATTTCTTCTAAAGTATCTTGAAAGAGTTGGTCAGACATAGTCCTCTCCTCTTCTAAGGGGCTCCTTCCTTTTCAGTGGTCTCCTCCTGGTAAGTAAGCTCTTCTGGCTCTCTGGTTTCTGTACGGTTCTTGTGTCTCCACCAGAAAAAGACAAATATTTTCACTCCCTTTGCATATAGTCCACAACTCATCCTATTTGAATCAGTTCAGCAACTCAAGATTTCTTAAAGAAACTAAGTACTGCAGGATCAAACTTAACGCAAATAGGGCATCATCCAGAAAAAAGAAAAAATATTACATCACCGCCTCCAAACTGAAAAGTGCCTGTTAACAAAAAATACATTTCCACATCGTGCTTTCCATATATATGTCTGATTGCAAAAAACACTACCTTATAAAGTAGCCTAGGAAGTTAATTAACTGTGGTTCCAAATTTTTGTATTTGTTCACATTTTCTTTTTTAAGGAAAAAGAAAATGTAGGTTTTAATTTATTTTTTTTTTATCCTGCGATGTATTTATTTTGTGTTGTGTGTGACACTGGGATTACATTGCCTGCCTATCTAGTTTTGTGCATATATGGTAAACGAGTTTTGCATGGTAATTAATGGTGCTGCTAAACATTCCATCGTTGTATTGAGCTTCAGGTTTTGGGGTCTGACGCTTAAGCCACTTTTGTCACCAGAAATTAAATCTGCAATTTCCATCTTGCAGGGACCAGACGGACTGCCAGTAGCAGGATGTTGGCATAAGGTACAGTAATAATAATAACTGCATGTCCTTGGGCAGGTTGTGAATAATCACTTGCTGCACGGTGGCTGCTCGTCCTGCTGCCCGCCCTTTGGGCACAGGGTACGTGCCCGGCAGAGCAGGATTCCATCGAGCTTCGTCTTACTCCCCATGGCTGCTGCTAGGAACACCCCTCCAAGAATTGGCCAAGTGTAAAAATTCTCCTTAATATTGTCAGTAGCAATGCCTGGTTTTCAGGCTTTATTTCTAAACAAAGACTTTTCTGCTGTTGTAATTATAATCCACCAAAATGACGCTGCTGCAGTGCTCGAGGTGGACGTGGATGGGTTATTCACACACCCAGGAGAGCCGGGGGCTGTAAGAGCCAAAGGCAGCCCAGGAGAATGAGGAGATCTGAGTGTCCCCCCTAAGAGAAGGGTTTGATGCAGCCCTGTAGGAGGATGCTGTAACCTCATTCTCCAACAAGGGTCCAACACTGAAGCCGAGAGGAATTACTAACCCCGATTCAGAGCTGTGGTCTGTGGGCACAGTCAGAGTTAACAGCAAGCGTGTTACTAACTGGCTGGGTTAGAACATGAGTATGCCCTTAGTGGATAAAAGCATTTAATTCTGTGGTAAGTCACTTTGGATGTGCTGTTAATATTTAAAGAAATCTGAATGCCAATCCTTACAGTATTAACAAATAAGATTAGTAAGCATAATGGATGGACCGTTTCTCTTTGATTAAAATCTTTGTCTGTGTGTTCTTTTGCAGTGATGTCTAAGCATGAAGCACAATGTGTAAATAATGTGATATATTTGGATCTTTTTAATTTTTGTATAAAAAAAGGAAAAAAAAAAACTTTCAACAGTAATATATTGACCTTTTTTTATACTGGATTCTGTCATTTATGGACTTTGAAAATATTGTAAAGCTCCCAAACCCGTAAGATACGCATGGTAACATCAGGATTTGATAAAGGTACCACTGAGAGCAGCTGGGAATGAACAGTATTTGCTGCTGCTGTTGCTGTGTGAACGAACAGCACTGGGACAGGGTGTTGCCTGGTTGTGCCGCGTGGCATGAAGGAGGGAGAAATCAATCCCCATCCCCGTTTGGCTCTCACCTCTGTACTTGCATTGCACGTGCACGTTAAAAGGGTGAAAAAACCTGGCCGAAAACAAAGAAGAAAAAAAGGCTGCAGCCCTAGGAAGGAGAGAAGCTGCTGTGTAACATCTGGGCAAACAGCAGAAGGACTTGCAACTCGCAGAGGGAAACAAAGCCAAGCTCCGTTCATCGCTCCCTGCTGTTGATGGGATGGAAAGAGCAATTCTTTGGCGAAACAGAACACCCTCGAGGACTACCTGTGGTTACTTCCACTACTATCATGAAAAGCTTTTTTATTTTTATTTTTCTTCCCAAGAGGAAGCACCTCTGGGTCCTGCTCTGGGGTCTGTGGCTGAAGATGTGCAAGCGCTTTGTTGCTGTGGAACCCAAATTCCCCAAGAAACCTCCACTGCAAAATTTGAAACACAAAAACCCTAGTAAATATTTTCCGTGTAGAGCTGCCGGACAGGGAGGGCTCTGCTGAAGCCTTCTCTTAAACAAAAAAGCACACAATGTTGCTGGTTGGGGTTCCCAAACCTTGGGAGTTTGGAGTATTTAATTGTCTTGGTTTGTAGGCTTCATTTGCGTTTGATTTTTCTTGGTTTACGTGGGTTTTAACTGTAAACTCTGTAACTCTGCACACTCCTCTTGTCCTCTTCCTTCTCTTCCCTTTTCAGTCTCTTTCTTTAAATTATCTCATCTCGGGCACATCCCATGCAGAGCAGGGTAACGACTAAAAGGAGGATTACGATTTTGATACATGTGGCATTTTAATGCATGTGGCATTAAGTGAGATCAATTAAAAAATTTGCTAACTATTCCACTGTTCATTTTTAAAGATGTTGAAAAATTTTTAACAGAGATTGTGCAGTAAAAGGCCATAAAAATTAATTCAGGGAGGAAGAAAATGGCTTACAGCTGAGTCTGTTCAGCTTACAATGAAGATCAAGAGAAAATCAGATTCCTTTACAGGGAGGAGATGCTTTATATTAGCAAGTTTTTAAAGTGAACAGAGAAAGATGTACAAATATCCATCCAACGTGTGGAAGCTGAAGCTACAAAAAATCAAATGAAGTAGGCCATGGATTTTTAATGGTGAGACTGGTTAATCCTAACCAGACCGGTGACGTAATCCCCAGCACTTTAATGCCTTTTTGATTTAACGGATCATTTCTGGAGGAAATATTTCAGCCCAGTACAAGTTGCTAGGCTCTGTGGCGGAGTCTCAGCTGAAATTAAGAGCCTGACCGTGGTATCAAACCAGATGATGGAAGGGCTCTTTGTGGCCTTGATCTTGGAGAATACAGAAGGGAGTTACTTTTGGTGTGTTGACTAGATCTGAACCCTCTGTTAGATCCTCGTTCCACTGGGTTTCTTAGGGCAGCTACTGCCAGAGAGGACTTGAGGGAGAGATGTGACTGACCAGGGACAACCTGCCCTGCACGAGCTGACCTGGTGCTAAGGTAGTTTTGGCCCCAACGTTCTGAAGAACAGGAGGAACGTGCGTAGTGCTCCACACAGGTCGGGTGATGTTCAACTGATGTCTGTGAGTGCTGATCTGGGGCTGGGTCCTAGTTGTCCTTGAGCTTATCCTTTTAGTCAGCTGGGAGCGTTTGTTGCCTGCTGGTAAATGTGGAATGACCATCTGATGTGGTAGATGTGGACACAAAAGACTTGCAGCTGTAGGCAGTGAACTTTTGTTACCTGTTGTCGTTGGCTGCTTCAGGTCTACACCTACCCATGGCCTGCTTTGTGGCTACACTTTGCATCATTACCAGTTACTGACTGTTCTCTTGGTCACCATATAGATTACATCAGTGTAAATTCAGATCAACTAACAAATCAAGAAACAACAATTATGTAACTCAAAACAGCAATGAAAATGCATTTTATTTACTTCCATTTCATGTTGTTAGCTATCACTTTTGGTGTAGGGGTTTTTAAAGGCATGAGGAGCAGCTGAACAAGCTCCCACTGGCTTTTAGTGCTTTTGAAAACCCCCTTCATTGTCCCAAATTAAAGCTAAAAATCTTCTTCTGTGGAAGGGTTGAAGGCAAATCTCTCATTGACGTGACCGGGAAGAAGATCTGTAATTGTTCCCTTAACGTACAGTTGCTCTTCCCGTCTCTCCCGTTCATCTCCAAACTAAAAGCACTTCACTACTCCAAACCACACCGTGGGCTTCTACGCTCAAAATTCCTGCATGTGTCCTGTTCATGGAACCTCTATCAGTATCAATGAGAGTTCAGTCCCCAGAATGACTGCAGAAAGCACAAGAATCTGGAAGTGTCCACAAACAATCTACAATGCAGATAGAAAAGTCTTGTTTTACATACGCTGGCAAAAACTAAACAGCTTTCTATCTAGCTCCTACTTGAAGAAGTTTGATATCACTGAAGCTACAAGACAAGCTAACCTCCAAAGCTTATGAAATTATATTAAAATTTATATTTTTCTCTGAGGAAATACCCCCGAAGTCCTATTATCTTCAGGTAAACAAGTCAGTATTCCGTCTTCAACTTGTGGAATATCCAGTGCTTGTAGGCATCAACTGTGACCACTGCCAGGCCTGCAAAACATTGATACAGAATACCAGGAGAGTGCTTTACCTAGTGCTCTATCTGCCCTGCAGGCAGCCGTCCCCCTCCCAGCACAGAGCCTCTGCTGCCACAGAACCCAACACATTCGCTCATAATGAAGGAAGAGAGTTCTTTTTGAACCTATGAAACCTCTCCGCTGTGTTGTTTCCTCCCCATCCCTGAGGCACAGCTTGCAATATTTCCGTGCCAGCCAAGGAGGAAGGGTGGAATTATCTTCCCAGCCCAGGACGGTGGCTGGTACCCACACCCATCAGCGCTACCGCCTCAGACGCCAAACACTTCAGTGAGCACCTTGGAAATTCCCAGGGAAAAGCCCTCTCTGCATCGCTTTGTTCCGCATCCCAAACGTGGGGAGACCAGCACATACCAAGGAGATCCATCTACGTGCCTGCAGCAAGGCTGGTGTGTCCAGGAGGTGTGACCTACTGCACACGTGGAGCGCGGCAGCCCGTCGGCAGGACCTTCTCCACACTCCCGCTGCTGGCATTTCCATTAGAAATGCTGGCAGGTTTGGACCCTGTGCCTATGGCCACATGAGATCACCGAGGATCTGCTGGTGGGACATCTCCCGACCCATTCCATCACCAGAGCAGAGCTCATGGGAGCAGAGGGAGGTACCAACCCCAGGGTACCGTACCCAGCTGTGGCTGTGAAGACCTTCCCGGTCCTCAGTGGACATCGCTCCATTTGGCCTTTTTATTCTGAACTTGTTGTTCCTCATGGATCATATCAGACTGTATCAGAGGAACTGTTGGGTTTTGTATCGATTGCATGGCATCTAAGAGGAAATCTGTTCAGACTTCCCTGTGCGTTCCACACACACGTGTTCAGAAAAGTAGGTTGTTGAACGCTAAATTGTTTCAGAGCAGTCATGACCTTAGTGGGAAGAGTTAAAAAAAGATGTGCTTTGCTCAGCAAATTCATGCCAGATCGGTTGATTATTTTCTCCTTCCACATGAAAATGTTTATGTGGGTCTTTTTTGAATACTTTTTGAGTTTGCAAACAGCTCACAAAGATAAATTCTACTAGTAGGTAGTACCAGCGGTCTCTCTCAAAACTCAGTAATTACCTCGCCCTCTCACAAAGCCTCATGCGTTCCCCTCCCCAGGAAACCACACTCTCTTCTTCTGGTTTGAGAGAATGCAAGATTGTTTGACAGGAATTCAGAAATGCAGCTGAAGGTTATGGCTAGATGTCAGCAGCAATAAGGATGACTGACAGGGAGGTTGCCAATGCTCCAGAAATGTAGGTCAGTCTGAGACCCAGCAATTGATCCGTCTTGATCACTGAAATGTTAAATATGTTGGCTTCATGGATTCATCCACAGATATTCTGGATAACACACTGGTCTTGGGGGACTCTGAAGCCCAGCCAAATATGTGTTTTGTCTTTGTTTTCCAATTTACAAAATTCCTTAGTCTAATTTACCCCCCATGAAAGCGTGGTGATTTCCATTATATTAAGATAACCACGTCTGCCTTCTCTCCAGGAGCAGAGGAGAACCAGCTGCCTTTAAGGCATTTTTCTATTTAAAATTGTTGCTATTGACCATCATTCCTGCTATTGCCAACATCCTCTCTCTAACATACCGCAGCCTAATCCATTTTGGAAGCAAAGTTCCCAAACTGAGTCCAAAGGGCACAAAAACTCAATTGAAACCCCTAAAAAGCCGGGGGCTGTAAGAGCCAAAGGCAGCCCAGGAGAATGAGGAGATCTGAGTGTCCCCCCTAAGAGAAGGGTTTGATGCAGCCCTGTAGGAGGATGCTGTAACCTCATTCTCCAACAAGGGTCCAACACTGAAGCCGAGAGGAATTACTAACCCCGATTCAGAGCTGTGGTCTGTGGGCACAGTCAGAGTTAACAGCAAGCGTGTTACTAACTGGCTGGGTTAGAACATGAGTATGCCCTTAGTGGATAAAAGCATTTAATTCTGTGGTAAGTCACTTTGGATGTGCTGTTAATATTTAAAGAAATCTGAATGCCAATCCTTACAGTATTAACAAATAAGATTAGTAAGCATAATGGATGGACCGTTTCTCTTTGATTAAAATCTTTGTCTGTGTGTTCTTTTGCAGTGATGTCTAAGCATGAAGCACAATGTGTAAATAATGTGATATATTTGGATCTTTTTAATTTTTGTATAAAAAAAGGAAAAAAAAAAACTTTCAACAGTAATATATTGACCTTTTTTTATACTGGATTCTGTCATTTATGGACTTTGAAAATATTGTAAAGCTCCCAAACCCGTAAGATACGCATGGTAACATCAGGATTTGATAA